ACAGAGCTCTGGCCCAGGGGGCCATGGCCAGCCAGGCAGCAACGGGGCCGGACCAGAGTCCTAGCCAGGGAAGAGCATTCAGCACAGGCCATGAGGGGAGGGCAGGAGAAGGGAGGGGGACCCCCGGTCCCGCAAATCCCCTCGTTCAGAACCAGTGAGGTCTCAAGGGTGCCGGACCAGGAAGGTCCAACCTGTCTTACACAGAGCTCTGGCCCAGGGGGCCATGGCCAGCCAGGCAGCAACGGGGCCGGACCAGAGTCCTAGCCAGGGAAGAGCATTCAGCACAGGCCATGAGGGGAGGGCAGGAGAAGGGAGGGGGACCCCCGGTCCCGCAAATCCCCTCGTTCAGAACCAGTGAGGTCTCAAGGGTGCCGGACCAGGAAGGTCCAACCTGTCTTACAGAAGTGTTGCCAGCTCGGGGTATGATGCTGCTGCTGAAATACCAAGTCACAATCAGCACACAGTCATGCTCCACTCAGACCCTTGCGGAGATGTGGGGGGTGCCATAGGTCACCACCTGCACGGAGCCCAAAACTTCTGCCCTTATTGTACCCCCGGAGCAAGGCGGGTGGTACCTCCCTCTGGTAGGATGTGTGTGCAGGGCCCAACGCTGAGGGAGATCCTCCAGGGCTGAGAATTCCTGCATACCGTGGTGTCCCTCAGGCCCGCCGTGGGTCTGTCACCCAGCGGATCCCAGCCGTCTGGAAGCCCCCCCAGCTCGCAGGCTGAGGAATTCCAGCGTCTGTGCTCAGTATGATCCTGACTGGCAGGGCTCTTCCTGCCCAGCCTCTTCGGCACCACACTCTGGGGGCGAGCCTGCCCACGTGCTTCAGCAGGGCAGATCCTCCAGGTCCTACTGACCCTGGTACGGGCTGGGGGAGCCTTCACCCTGAGGGTGGAAATCCTTTGGGAAGGGGGCCTTTTAGAAATGACTCTTCCCCCGCGGTTCTCAGGCCCTGGCTCTGTGGTGACGTGTGTGGTTCCTTCCCAGGTCACGGTGCGTGTGAAGGTGGAAGAAGTGACCCCAGAGGACACAGAGACCCCTCAGGCATTATGGGACACTCAGAGCCCCCAGCTGGAGCCACAGCAGCCCAATACCACGTGGGGATCCCAGGAAGAGGTGGGACGGGGCAAGTACAAGTTGCCCCGTGCTCCTGAAGAGGAGACTGAAGCGCTACCGGAACCTGGTAATAAGCCACATGGGGGTGTGACGGGGCCAGCATGCAAAGGAGAAGGGGGTGGGGGGTTGTGTGGCTCAGAGGATTCACAGTGAGGTATGGAGCCATCATATAGGTTAACATGCAGCAGGACCGGTGCCTGCGGAATAGGCCGCATAATGGAACTTGGCCTCCATTCCTGGGGCTGCCCCTCTGTGGGTAGCAAGGAGGTGGCTGTGGCAGAGAGAGGGCTCAGGCATGTTTCTCCCTGCCTGGCCTGACCCAGGAGCTCTGTGCAGACTGTTGGGATGGGGCTGTTTGCCTAGCCAGAGGAGTTCTGTCCAGCAGGTGGGTGCTTCCTGTAGAGATGTAATAGTATAGTCGATTAACTGCTAATGCTGTAGTAGACTGCACGCATTTCCCCATCCCCCCTTGCCAGTACATTTTTAGCAGGCTGGCCAGCAGTGCAGCTCAGTCCTGGCTTGTACCAGGTCCGGGACCTACCCCTGCTGCAGCTCTGCTTTTAAAGTGTCTTAGAAGCCAGGCAGATGGGCAGCCCGGCTCAGTTCCGGCTTGTGCCAGGCCCGAGAGCTCAGACCTGCCTCCCCGCCCTACCTCCCCCAGTATCAGAGACTGGTAGCCGGTCTGTGAGGGCAGCTGGTTTTTTTTTAAACTGGTTCCCTCTGTGGATCAGCTCCCACCTGGCACCTTGTGCTGCTGCCTCTGATACAGAGACGGCAGCGTGGAGTGGCAGGGGGCTCCTCTGGAGTGGGGCCGAAGCGCTGGCTAGGAACGGAGAAGAATTCATGAGGTTACTCGACTATTCAATTAACTGACATTTAACATCCCTACTTCCCTGACTAGGCTTTAACAGTCCCAGGTGCCTCTCTGATCGCCCTGTCAGGCCAGGGGGCAGATTTCCCTCCTCCAGTGGTGGCAGCTTCTCTGCTCACCTCCCCAGGGGTCTCCCCCCATCAAGGCAGCCTTTGAGAAGCCTTTCTTCCCCTTT